AAAATAAAGAGCTAAGTTAACTGGTTTTCAGTCAAAAATCATTGTTTTTTGAAACGGTCTAATTAATACTTTTGTGCACTCATTCTCAAATTTGACAATTCCTTGGAGAAAAATACTCCGTAGTTAATTTCTTAATTTCTTTGTGTTATTTTTAAACCTTAGATCTACCTTCTGCATAGACATGTTTTAATGAATCTTTGATTTCAAATACTTTTTCTTTGCATTATTTCGTTTTAACAATCGGTAATATTCATTATTATTTTGTTTTCTCCGCACCCTTTCTCAAATTTGATCGCATAACTAAATACTATTTACTCTATTTCTTTTTACTAAATATCTGAATTTTTGATTGAAAATATATAAGGTGATGGTTTGTAGTAAAAATCAAACTTTTGAAATATATAGGGTTTTTATTTTTTACTTTTTTCTGTACTCTTACCTAAATATATAGTGAAATATGTTAATTTCTTTGGAAATAATATTTATTGATCTGTATGTTTTTTAAAACCTCTTTTTTCTCTTTTTTAATGTAATCTCCAAAACTCAAAAACTTGTTTGAATAATTCGTTTGCAAATAGATTTTAAATTTGTTTGGGGATGATTTGTATAGTTAGAAATGTCTTTTTGATAATCATTGTCAAAAGTATATGAAAATATGGAGTACGAAACCAAGAACAAAAGTGTGATGGTACATTGTCATTTTTACTTTTGCTTTTCATTTTTTATGTGCTTTAATAAGTGATTCTTATATCTAGCATCAACAACTTTTTAAATGTTCATCATGAACAATCAACCATTGTTAACCATTTAAAAATTTGTTTAGAATTCCTAGTAGACTCTTTTGCATTTAAAGTAATGTATTCATGTAATCTCAATCTTCATATAGAAAACACTTATTTTACTGTTATGTTCTTCGGTTCTTCCCATGTATCATTCTTGCCCAAAAGTTTTGTAATGCAGTGAGAACAAACACACGGATTTTTTTAAATTAGATTCTCCGTATGAAAAAACATGGGCTAGTTGTGTTTATTTGAGGTATGAAGGGCAGTAGAGTATGCTTACCTCCCTACCTCCTCTTAGTGACCGTCCTGCCGTGTCTGAGGGGAGCCTCGGGGATGGGGCTCATCCTTTTTTTATGGATGTAAAAAGCAACCCATTGCATTAAATGTACATTGCATGCCTGATTTAAAGCAACTCATTGCATTTTCAAAGGCCTACCTGGGTCATCATTTCCAGACCAAGACTGAGCTTATATCATATATGTTCATTTGCAAAAAGTTCTTTAGGCAAAAGATTCTTCCAACCTAAAAACCATTTGATCACTTCTTCAAAGAGTGGGTTTGAACATAACCAGTGGTACAAGACATCGTGCCACTTGTTGAAGAAGATATCTCGAACGGGAAGCAAGTGATG